GAGGTGGGTGGGCTGATGACAAGCCTTTTGGTTCCCCTTACATTGCTGCAACCTGGCAAAGGACATGCTTCAGAATAATTAAAAACACGTGCACCTGTTGGCTCCTCTGGCACGTGTACATTTGATTTCTTGTTGAGAATAAATTAGCCTGTAGGCTTTTAAAATGCAAATTAAATAGTGTCAGGCATCCAAGTAGTTGATTTTAATAGTGCTAATACCTGGTAGCTCCTTTGGTGAAGCACAGATTGGTATGCAGTGGTTTGCCAGCGTTGCAGCAGCAAAAGAGCCTTTTGAAATCCTTTCTTTTTAAAAGCGTTATTCAGATTTAATGGAATTGTCAACAGTAATTATTGATTCCTCTGTTTTACTGAGCTATATATAAATCTGTCCTGGGTTGTATTTGCATAATTAAGGACACAAGATGCTGAAGTGGCTGGTTTGTATTAGCTATTGTTGACATCTGTTTAGGGGATGTTTGCCATAGCTGGGTGCACACAGTGGGGAGAGTATTGCGTAGCAGTGCTAGTAGGGTATTATGCCAGGGCTAGTAATCCCTGTCTGTCAGTGTATGCAGCCTTCTGAAGGGTTTATTAGTTCAAGCAGAACACTGCTGGTACAACTATACAGTTTCAAGATGGGAGCAACATCTGGCAGAGTTCAACGCAGATGGAACTAGCGCACAATCTTTATAAACTTGGCCTATGCTTGTGTTGTAGGATCTGCCGTGAGAAAGAAGTAACTATGGAAGCACTGCAACTCTCATTACAAACAGTGTGAAACTTGAAGGAATTCCGACAGTTTGCCTGTACTTAACAGGCCTTAGAATTAGGTCTAACAACACTAAGAAAGACACTTTTTGCTTAGAGCAGCTATGAATTAAGAGCCTGTTTAACCAATGATTTTAAATAACTAATCAAATACTGCTGGCATCAACACTGGACTATTACAAAGCACTAAAAAAACCCTTAAAAAAACAAAAAAAAACCCCACACCTGTTTCTAACAGGGGACTTAAATACTTCTCACTATCCTATGCTGAATAGGAGGGCTTAGAATAACTGTTTGTAGCTATTTTGCTGAAGTGGGAGATTTCAGTAGTTGGTCCAAATAGTGCATTTCTACCCCTACAGCTATGAAGAATTTATAAGGCTGTTCTTTATGCTTAGTATCTGTGAATGGAAAGATCTAGTTATCCGCCTCTCAGTATGATGTGAGACCAAAAAGTGTGTGTTATCTGTAGTGGTGGAAAGTATTCATTCCCTGATCAATTTTTTGAGAATGCTATGTTTTTCCTCTTGCTTTTAATTATTGAAGAAATTGTATGGGTAGCAAAACTTCCCATTTAGATATTTTCCTTGACCTTAGGCTAAATCATTTAACATTTTTTTAACTTGAGAAAGAAATGATTTTTAAAATTAAAACTGAAAACAAATGATTGTGTTTCGTTGTTGTTTTTATTAAATTACTAATCTGTATGTAAAATAAAAACAACAGTCTCTGGCTGTTCTGTGGTAAAACGTAGTGGTAACGAAACTTTACAGGCATAGGAATTTATGTATTTCTTCATGTGCAAGGGACAAGTTGCCAATTTTTTGCCTTCAGTACTGGCAGACATGAAGCTTGGTATTGTGTTGATGCTTGCGGAGCATTACTAATTATAAAAATCGGTTGAACAACCTCTGCTTAGTTTTGGCAAGCCATCTGCTTTAAAACTGTTAAACAAGTCAAAACAGTTCTGTAGAACATCCTACTTCTCCAAAACTGTTGCTGTTTTGCCTTGTGCATTGCAAAGTCTAGCAGCAGGGAAAAGCTTCCCAGAGTGACTCTAAGATAGTCTGTAGAAAGCTCTGCCTCTGAAATAAGAACACCATTGGCATGGTATTTACTTTGAAACAGTCTTTTTGATATGGAGGCTCTTGCTCTGCTTCAGTTAAGCACCTAGGTTGTGCCAACTAGTCCCATGAAGTCTGGGATTTAAAATTTCATTTATTAGAACTGTTTTTCTTCTGTCTCTCTAGTTCGCTCTCTATTTTCCTTAAAAAAAAGAAAAGAAATCACACTTCTTGCTTCTGGATTTGTGTAAGACAGCAGTGCATAAATCACTACGTTAAAAATAGAACAGATCTTTTTTTTATGGAGTTGATGAAATTTATGTGAAATTCCCATGATAATTTATATTGTATAATTTTGTAAATCAGAGTTGATTTACAGTTTTCTTCTTCCATGTGACAACAGGGCTTTTTCTTTACACAGCAGAAATGTATTATTTCTGTTGACTTTGTCCTCTACAAGTATAATTGTTAGCATAGGACAAGTGTACCACCTGTATACGCGTCATAGATTGTTTTTTCTATTCATGTTTTTGTGGCAGGTGAAAAGTTGATGTTTTGATTTTTGTTTTTGTAGTTCTTAGATGAATCGCAAATCATCTATCATCTAGTAGGCTAGATCATCTAGTAGATGAATCACAAATCATCTAGTAGAGAGGCAATGACAAGGTTGGGAATTGGAGTTGAGGTGCGGGGGCAATTATGTTCAGATTTCCTTGAGGAAGGGAGAGGTTTAAACCAATTTCTTATGCTGCTTTGATAATTAACAGTTATCTCCTTAGAGATTAAAGTTGCTGACTTCTTGTAGACAAAGCTATGACCTTTAAAACAGTTGCGTTTTATAGTTTAAATGGAAGTATCTAAAGAGAAGGCATTTAACAGGGGAAAAACACCTTGTTAATTTTTTTTAATCACTGCTTTTATATTATTTCTTCCCAGATTTTGGATAGTAGAGCATAACCACTCATTCTTGCTTTCTTCACTTTTGCACTCCTACAGAAGATAGTTTTTCAACAATATGGAAAGATATTTTTTTAAAGTTAGGATTAATAAAAATTCTGAATTTTTAATTATTCTAATATATTTTTTGAATTTGCATCCGAATACTTGAAATTCTCCATTAAACTGCTTTGTACTGTGCAGTCTGCAATTTTATTGCCTTAGTTCCTGAATTGCCCAGGTAGTACAGTTCCTGTACTGCTGATAAACAAATGGGATATGTTTTGGTAGGCAGAGTATAACCATCATATGTGTTGAATAGCTTTCTAAGAATTAGTGAATAAGTGTGCTAGACACTTTTAAGGGCATGGATAAGGATAAATGTAATAAATATAATATTATTCTTATCACTATGTAGTGTGTAACTCCAAGCTGTTTGAAGAGATTTTTGTCTGGGGGAACGAAGATCAGCTATGCTGCCATATATTTAGTCTAGCTAAACAGTGACCGTCTACTTTGCAAACTAAGAATAGAATTGAAGGTATCTTTTGCATGCCCATTATTAAAATGTAACATTTTTTTTTTTTTTAAACTTCATCCATCATTCAACTTTGCTTCATCCAAAGCAAATATAATTAGCTGGTCTTATACCAGCAACTTTACTGACGTGAATTATCCTTAAAACCACTTTGCAATAAGTGCCAAGTCAACAATGTCAATTTATTTTCAGAGTGCCAAAATGTACTTTTTTCTACTTAAGTTTTTCAGGAGTTTTGAAAAGCTAACATAAGGGCCAAATTTGATCCTTTCTGTAGAAGTTATAGTCCAGTCTTGATTCTAATGTTAAAAACTTGGGACGCTTAACTTTTAGCCAGGGAAGGTACTGGCAAAAGTATGTGTAATTTTTGTGAGAGAAAATAAAATTCTTTTTTTTATTATTTTTTTCACCCCTCCCTATTCACTCTCATCTTTTTCCTTGGTATACACTTGTATGTGAAATAGCAAAAGTGTTTCCTATACAGTATGCTTGTGCACTTCTGTGTGAGTTTAAGTGTACTAGTCTGAACCGTGCTTTTGTGTCTTTTTATTTTACCTCCTTTTTGATTTAGCACTGTTAGAAGGGATGGTATTCAGAAGGAAGAGCTGAAGCAAAAATCTTTGTACAACCATATAGTAAAATGAACAGGTTAACAATCTACAAATACTATAATACGCAGGACACTTACACCATTAAACATGCTTGTAGTTGAAGTATCCTTTTGAGTCTAGGTATGGTTTGACCGTACTATGTCTTGTGTGTTGTTTGCTGGCATTATTTTTTTTATAAATTTAAGATCTGACTGTATTAGAGAAGGTCTTTATGGTTTTATTTGCGATATTTAAGCATACATTCAAAACGTGGCCGAAGTTTTGAGATGATGGAAAAAGTACCATACAGGTATAACAGGAATTAAAAAAAATTGAGTGCTCGCTCACTCTAGTGGTTTGCTAACACACATTCAGAAAAATTAAGAATGACAGTGCTGACAAACCCAGTAAACCCGACCACAGTTCCTCACTTTCTTCTACTGAAGTGCTTTGCAGATGCTAAACGGCCAGCATGAGAATCACATAAGTGGTGTTCCTGCTTCACAGACGAGCAAAGTTGATGTGGAGAAGTTGGTATCGCTTTGTGCCGCAGGGCATCTGTGCCAGTTGAGAGTAGATCAGGCTCGTCCGTGACAATTGTGAATATGTGAAGGAGGGGGTGGGGGGAGGGGTCATGCCCCCTTGTTTTACTATTATGTTGGTATTACCTGCTGATGAAAATGTTGCACAAAGTGGAGGGTTTGTGTTGTGATGCTACCGATTAGGGCAGCTCACAGGCTATATAATGCTTGTCAAGTCCCCGTGGTGTTCCTGAGGTGGCCCATAGTGGTGTGAACCCTCCTCCTGCTTCAGACTGTTGCAAGTTGATACAAAAATACCTATCCAAAAACAGAAAGAAGTAATTACACCCTCGTTACTTTTGCTTCTTATTCCTCGTTTTCTGTTTGCTGTATTTTATTTATAGGTGTTGATTTTAAAATCAAAACAGTAGAGCTAAGAGGAAAGAAAATTAGATTACAAATCTGGTAAGTAAAACAAATGTGCAACCAGCAGTATGTTTTAACTTTTATGTTCTAGCATGAATCAATATGCTTGTCTAATACTATTAACTGTTATAAGCTGGTTTAGCTCTTATCCTTTTGCTCCTCTTTTCCTTTCCCACATAACTTAAGCAAAAATGAATAGCTGCTAGATTTTTGTGAGGGTAAATGAGAAGAAGGATATAGATTTATAAAAGGGACTTTTATAAATTACACTTTATGAGTGTAATTACTCAAATATTCATACATCACAGATCTCAAAGCCCTTTTTCTAAAAGAGTGAAATCATCTACGCAAGAAATAGCATAGAAGTTCTACAAACAAAAAAGGGTGACCAAGTTAAATAGAAGACACTAGAGAAATTGTATTTTAGTTTTTATTTTCTTGACTATTTTAAACTGACATTCATTATAACAGCAATTAAAAAGTAAGCATGAAGTATTTTCTAAACTGCGTGTCTGAGGTTTGGTATAGGCAGTGCTGTTTCTTTCAAACTATATTAAAAAACTTTAGTCTTTAATGACATTCCCTTGTAAGTGAATTACACTCCTCTGAACAGCACTGAGGAGTAAAATGATCTCATACAGATAGGACTGTATTCCTTAACAGTAGGTACTGATGTCCTACTGTGGAAAGCTTAAAGTCTGAACTAGGCTTTTCTTTTCTGGAGCAGATTACGTGTTTCCTGGTAATGATTCTCCAAGTCAATGTTTAATACAATTTACTGTTTAGAAATTATTGAGCTTACACATTCCTTTGTTTTGTAGAATAGCACAATGCATAAACATTATTATGAGAGGATAAACCAGCTAAATTAATATACATTATTCTAGTCTTTTAGTCTACTATCTAGTAGCTTAGCTTCAGTTTATTAACAGTGCATAATGGACGTTGCAGTTAAACTGTGAAAGCTGCTAACAAACCATGGGGGGGGAGGGGGAAGAAAAGCTCTGAATATAGCCTTTGTTACTTCTGGTGGTTTCTCATTCTTAATTACATGGATGCAGTAAATTCAGCTTACTAACTCCTCTTGGCAGGTCCCCATGAACTCTGTTTGTCGCACCATGTGTCTGTCTTGCTTCCCTCTGAGTTAACTGCTGCTTCATCTTTGGTATCATCCGTCACCTAACACTTGAATGTTACTGGCATGTTTTCATCCATCATGTGTCCCTGTTTGGAAACCTGTGACCACAAGACTGGCAGTTGAGCCAGCAATTGTTAGCCAGGGTCTACTGAAGCTGACAGAGGTAACAAAAATTTTTAATGTGGAGATGTTACTGTACACCTAACATGAGTTCTTACTATGAAATGTGCTAAGCTTATCAAACCACTTACTAATGTTGAATAAATATTTCATAGGAGTGGTGTTTTGTTGGTAAAGACACGTTTAAACCATTATTTTCCACATATTGAGAATATGCTAGTAGGATATAGAAAACTTTTTAAAATAAGAATTGATAGGTTGCTAAAATGTGACCATTGTTCTGCTGCAAAACCCTGCTAAAATGATGGACAAAACACAATGTGAAGACAGAGCATTTTAAAATGTATTAAAATCCATGAATAAAACTTCCTTCCCCTGAATATCACTTTCTCTTGGACATTTGCTGTTAAAATGCTGTTCTCATAGTTGACCCTTAAAACTGTCTTGGCATAGTTGTAAATTTTTTGAAAAGCAGAGTAGATTACCACTCCTTTTACTAATTTGAAGTTGTTTCTTGAGGTATGGTGTGTATGTTATCTTTAGGAAACACTTGTTGTAGCTTCAAGTGTTAAAGACTGAAAAATAAAAGCCACTTAGAAAGTCAAACACTTGGAAGTTTAAAATGCAGAATTAAGTCGCGTAGGTAATCCTAATTCAGTCTGCTTTCATACTGATCAAGAGACAGAATTAAGATGCTTGGCACTTCCTGGTGGTTTTTACCTGATTGCATTCACTGTACTGCAGAATCCTGTATTATTCAGTGAATTGATCATTTCTAAAGTTTATGCATATCTATTGCCTTAAAATGACTAAGGCCACATTTCAAAGTGCCAAGCGTGCTAGTTTTTTTTTTTTCCAGTCAATTAATTATTCTACTTCAAAAACCAAACGAGCGGCTTAAAAAAAAGTTTAGTATTTTTATGGTCATTTGACATCTCTCTCCGCTAACAATTTATCAGCAGAGTGTTCTCCACAGACCTCTGCCACTTGAATTTATGAAGAAATAGCAGGACTATTTTGAATGTATCAACTAGGTGTGCAGAACATCCTTTTGAAAGCAGGTTTCACAACTCTACCTATTAGTAGTGGAGTATACAATTTGGACTTGGCTTCCGAATTCCCGTTACGGTAGGAGACAGTATGCTAAAGATCTTAGAGGCCTCTGCTCTTGATCTTAGTCTGTTGGTTCCTGTCCGGTCCCTGTCACCTTACTGTACTTCTTCCCTTATTTCTTAGGCTTTTGGTCAGAGACTCCTGCTCCCTAGCACATGAAATAGTAGAGCAGCACTGAGGGTAGAAGAGTGTCCCATCTTCTCTGTTCCAGCTGGAACAGCAGTAGTGACCCTTGGGCTGCCAGAAGAAATAGTTAAAAATAAACCTGCTTCGCTCTGTTGTAGTTCTTGGATGAAACAAGCTCAGGTTTTTTTTGTGTTTTTGTTTGTTTGTGAGAAGTAACATGTGTATACAGTTTAGGCAATAGGGTAAAGTAAAGTAGAACCATCAGATAGCTTAAGTGTCAAAGTGAATCTAAGCATATGTAAATTACTGGTTTTTCAAAGCTTGAAAACTAGACCGAATAATAAGAAACATGCTTTTGTGCTTTGGAGCATAGGTGTGCCAAGAGCTGCTCAGAAGGACATGGGGGTGTCTATCTGAGAGGGAAATGAGTGTGCCCTGAGTAATCTGGGGACCTCACTAAGGCAAGCGGCAGCCTATGCTGGCTTCCTCTCTGAAGTACCCCAGCACCTGGTTGCTGGAAGCCGTGGCTCCATGTCACTGTGTTCGGGCTGCTGCCAGGTAGCCAAAGGAACTCTCTGATATCTTCCCCAGGTTTAATGCCCAAGAAAGCCAGCGACCTGGCAAGAAAATGGCCTGATTTGCTTCTGAAATTTATTAGAATTGGTGCATCTCATAGGAGGTTCTGATTTTGTCGGCTCAGCATTTTCTAATGGGAAGTTTTTCTTTTGGAAAATTTCTGAAATGAGGAATAATCTGAAAAAAGGCCCCCTATCCTGGAGCGTAACAAAATGTAGTTCCTGCTGTTCAGTACTTATTTCAAAAATGATTCAGTATTCATACTGAAGTATGTTGATTCAAATATTTTCAGTTTATATTTCAGTGTATATGTTTATGGGAGGAAAAAACTCAATTAGAATGATTTAAAACATTCAAAAAAAATCTTGTCCATAACTGCAAATTATTGATTTTAAGTTCCATACAAGCACAGAGCATGTAAAAGTGTTAAATCAGTGTTTTTATTTATATTTAAAAATATTTCCCTTTTTTATGGCCACTTACCACTATTCAAAACAAATTAATTTAACTTTAGAGCCAAAGATAGTTTTGAGTCTATTTGTGTTTGCTTCAAGCGACTTTTTTAAATAGACACATTTATATAAAACAAAAATAATCCAATCTTATTTTAATTCAGACCAGCTGTATTTGTATTGTATTTTATGCAGTCTGAAATAGTGACACTATCACAAGTCAACGTTTAAATAATATTTGACAATGGGTTTTGTGGGTTTTTTTGATTTGCTTCTGTTTGGTGTAATGTTTTTTGTTTTTAGAGTAATGTCTAGTTTCTCACTGAAGTAGAAAAACAAAGGCAAGTAAGGGTTTTGGAGGGTTTCTTTTTCTTTTTGCCAAGACTTTTTTTTTTTTCCAAATGATAAATGATCAAGGAGTTGTACGCTGTGTGTTTGTGATTATAGTTTGGTAGTATGCCTGGTAGTTTTGCCGTTTAAAATAAGTTATTGAAAAATAAATAATGGAAAACTGCTTTTAGCATTCAAAAAGTGGTCTTCTGTTGCATCTTGAAGTGATGCCAAATTATTGATCAAGTTGCAGTAACTTATTGTTTGGACTTTTGGAGTCTGAATAAAAAAGAACAGATTTATTATGCTAACTCCAAACAGAGCAGATAAAGAACTAGGAGCACTTGGTATCATTCCTGAAACTGCATAGTGTTAATTCAGTTAAATTATGTTCATCTCTTATTCCTGCTTTCTGTTGGTTCTTTGACAGCTGTCCTTACTAAAATACTCCAGCTGCTGGAGTGCAATAAATTGATGAGAATAGAAAAACAAACTGAATTGCTCCAGCACAGGACAGATATCTTATGAAAGCCATTTTAATGTGGATATGCTTTTAATTTTAGTTCTGCATTAGGGGGTGTCACTTTTTCTTCAATATTGGAAGAATTTACTGCATGTTTTTATAAAACAGAAGGTGGCACCAAGCAGAAAATGAGATATCTGGAAGTCTCCGTGTATAAGGTCATCTTGATACTTTTCTCAGATTTGCGGCTTGTTTAGGTAGCCTGGCATAGCTTTCTAAACTCATGTCCACCTCTGATTAATACTTATTTCAGAGGCAATTTTCCCATTTTCACCTTAGTATTTGAAGGGTAATACACTGTTAATATATTGTTAAAGATGCAAAATCAGCTTTTTTTCCTCCAGTTTTCTAAGGAAACAAGCACTATAAGATCATGCTTAGGATCCCAAAATCTGTTAGCTGATTTCATTTAAATTTGATGCAGCAGTAGAGGCAATGGTTATGCAAAGTGTATGCAAATCAGTGACTGGGTTTTAGAGCAAGGCAGAGAAATTCAGGCATAATCCACTGGGATGAGCGCAATGGGCAGGTGACAGTCAGTGGCCATCTGGCCATTTAACACATGTAGCGGGCAGCCCGGCTGGCCATAAGTATTTTGAACCAGCCCCAGGACATGGTGTGTCTTATATATAGCCAGCAAGGTGAAGGTGTATTTGGGTGAAGGACCTTTGCCAAGGGGAGTGCAAGACTGTGGGTGCAGCAGCAGCGAGGAGCAGCAGCAGCCAGGGATACTGTGAAGCTCTGAAGAGCCCATGGGTGTTGTGGGACGAGAAGAGGTTGATATACCAGATAGACTTGGGGATATGGCACTGCAGGCTCAGGGAAACCTGGTGTGGGAGAGAACTAGAGTAGCAGAGAGTAGTGCAGCATAGTTGACTCCATCACTTCCACATAAGCTTATCTTATGTGCTGATTGCTCCCTCTTCAGAGAGGGTGGTTATACCTAAATGTGTTTATTTCCGCTCTTTGTTTTTTTGTTTGTATGTGCTGGGTGATTTGGCACTCAAAAGTATGCTCTTTGTGATGGAATTGGTAAACTTCCTTAACGCTGACCTGTGGGCACAGTCAGGACGCTCTGAAATAGCTTCTCTTTTTCTGTGATCTGATAAGGGCACAGAAAAGGGAGGGAATACTCACCAGCAAGAAAGACAACTTTTTCCATTAGTCTGGCCAAAACTAGATTTGATGCATTCTTCCACATCAGTTATGCCCTTCCACCTGCCATCTAGCTATGTCTGCTCAGAACGATGGAAGTCTAAGGGATCCTATCCCTAGTACATTCAATCACTGGGTTAGCAACAGATAGCAGAGGCTGTTCTTCAAGATGATAATTTGAGAAGTCTGTTCATGAGCCCTGAAGCAATGTTATCCATATGTGGAAAATCAACGGTTCATACTGGAATTTGTAAATTTTTCATATGATGAACTTGCAAAGAATCTTCCAGAAAATAAATCCGACCATAGCAAAGAAGTAATAGAAGAGAAAACAGAATTAGTTGTTTTGAGTAATATTTATATATGTAGTTTCAGCTGCCAGGACTTGTATTTCTTTAATAAAAATGCTTCACTAGTGATAAGAAAGCAATCTGTCAATTTTCTAAAATTAGTCTTAAGTATTACTAGAGCTCAACGTTATTGAAACAGACTCTTGTTTTCACCTTCTGTGGGTCCCAAAGGTGTGTGTGAATGTGATAGTGAGAGGAATTGAAGGTGATAGGAATTCATTCTTTCCTGCCTCCTTACTCCATGTCTCATGTTACAATACTTCTGGCCTGCTGTGAAGTATTAGCCAATATTTTTCCACAGACTGTGAAGCAGATATTTCAAAACTGTTTCTAGTGGACAGTGCTTTATTCTGCAAAATCACTAGTAAACATTTGAGGCTATCTAGTACACCCGTGACAGTTTCAGGAGAAAGGGAAGTTAAATCAAGTACTTAACTCTTAAACCTATTTGCTTAAGATCCCTAAAGATTTTATGAAGATAGGTTTGTGGTAGTTTATTCTACTACTTGTCTTTGTGCATAAACTCTTTAAAAGAATGAAGTCTTCAGGACAATCAATGTGGCATTTTGTGCACGTGACCTTTTTTTTCTTCTTTCTTTTGGTAAAGAGTGTTTCAGCTCTCCATCGTTAACCTCATCCCCAAATTCATCCTTCTTTTCTCTAAAATGTGACTGCTGATTGGAGTTCCTTTTGAACTTTTATTCTGAGAGACCCTACACGCGTGTACTTACTGTCTTCTCTCCCCTCTGAGGAAAGAGTTTTGGTCTGTCTTTTGACTTGCTCTAATAGTAAAATTTCAAAATTATCCTTTGATTCTGGGGGCTGAACTGAAGCAACTAATGCTTGATCTCATTGGAGCACCGTATAACTTATTTTCCAGTTATGATACTAGTCACATTTTAAGAAAAAGGATATCCACCTGCTATCTAAACTTCCATAAGCAGGCTCGATGATAGGATTAAAAGCAGTTTACAAGTTTTCATGGTTCAGTAAGAAATAACCCTTCTGTCTCAATTATTTTGGAATATAAACTGCAAGTACAGACAGAGTGGTATCATTAGTGAAAAATAGTCTCCCATTTGAATACACCCTAAGTGAATACCCAGCATGCTGAAAGTTAGAATGGAAATGCTATTTGAACATCTTAAGTTAGTAGATGCAAGTCTGATAGCCAAATATGTACTTCCACAACCCCTACTGTATAGTGGATGCTTACTGTTTTCATAAGCTTCTGCCATGACGCCCTGCATTAGTTTTAGAACCATAGTTTAATGGCTGTGGTCGAGGCTCTGAAAGCTCGAGTCATGGTGATCAATGCATTTGCTCATAATGCAGTTGGATGTCCAGCTGTCTTAGTCTGATCAGTGTGTTTCCATTTCTGTTCTCATTTTTCAGGGCTATTTTATGGAAAACAAACAAACAAAAAAAACCCAGCTTCATCTGCTGATAGACGTTCTCATTAGACAGCTTCATTCTCAGACAGATGTAGAACTGTTCAGTGGCCTTTCTTAGTGAAGTTAGTATGGGATGAGTAGTTCTGACATGAAAGCTTACAGTTGAAACTGCTGTTCCATTTTGTTTTGCTGGCAATTCACATACACAGAAGGAAATGTTCAATAGTGAATGTCTAATGAGTGTGGTTTTGTTTTTATTAAAATATAAACAAAGTTACTCTGTACTTTGTGAATTGGTGAAATATTTGTGCCAATGTTTGCTGCTGCTTCTTAGGGACACAGCAGGTCAGGAGAGATTCAACAGCATTACCTCAGCTTATTACAGAAGTGCCAAGGGAATCATATTGGTATATGATATCACCAAGAAGGAGACTTTTGATGATTTACCAAAATGGATGAAAATGATCGATAAGGTAGGCCTTTACATTTTTTGGGGGGGGAGGGAGGGGGGCTTACTTTCAAATTATTTAAGAAGTAATGTTTTCTCAAAGGGACTCTGTCAGGCTTTAAACAGATTGTGATACGATTACTAAACTGCTGACTGCTAAAATAATCCAGTGAAATTTAGTAGGGATTTAGCATTCATGTGCTTTGATGCAAAGCTGCAGTCTGTTGCTGCTCCCATGAACTAGAGTTATCATAATTAAAGTGTCAGTGGATCTCTTAACCTTACACATTTACCTGTGCACAGGGGGGAAAATAAAGATTTTTTTTTTTTCCTGTCTGTGAAATTAAGCCATTATATTCACTCTTAGGTAAACTGGAGCAATTAGTTCTTAAGTAATGTTTTTAAAATGGAATTTAAAAAATGAAATGGAAAATTCTTAAAGTAGTGCTTAGAAAAACTTTGACACATGAACTGTGTAGGTATGGTTCCTTTTTTACTAGTTGAATCGCCCAATTCTTTTTGATATTTTATTGGCATTGCAAAATCTTATGTTTCTAGGTTTAGTTAATTAAAAGTTTTAATTGCAGTATGCTTCAGAAGATGCAGAGCTTCTGTTAGTTGGAAATAAACTGGACTGTGAAGTTGATCGAGAGATTACTCGACAGCAGGGAGAAAAGGTAAGAGCAGGTGTAATCCAATTGTTATCCTTGTTAGCGGATAGTAAGAGAAGGAGATTGTGTTCAGGTGAGTTAACTTATATTTGAGACAAATCCAGATTTGAGTTCATGCAAGTTGTAAACATGACTATAGTTCAGCTTGAGAGCTTACAGAATCAGCTAAGTAAATAGAAGCTTCCTTTCTTTCAAATCTGGTTACTGTTAGAAGCAAAACTGTTGCGGCATTGCTGCCAGCAGTGTTTTGTGTCCATGGCTACTTTTGTCCAGACTGTTAGACCTAAGGAGCATATTGAGAATGGTGGTGTTCTGTCAAAATCCATGTGGTATTTACTGACTTGTACAGAATGTGCAAGTATATGCTTTCTTACTGGAGCAGTATGTCTTTGCTCTAAAGAATAAAGAAACTGAAAGTGTGATAATTGGCTCCCAGTACACAGTAGCGTAGGGAATAGAGAAGTGTTCTGTTGTGCCATTCTTCTTTTCTGCCTGGCATCAGCCAGAAACCTTTCGTGAAGGCTGCCCGCTTCAGAGGTTCAAGTTTTTCTTACCCTTACGCTGGCTTGCCTGTGCGTCGTAGAGGGAACGAGTCTTAAATAACATCTGATGAATTTGATTGCTGCTTTCTCAGGTGGGTTAGAGAAGAAATCCGGAAAGAGTAGTGTTAAATACCAGTGCATGAAGAACAGAGGTTGTGGAGCTGTCCATTATTCACTTCACAGCTGTAGGCTTTCAGCTGTAAGATGGATTTGTGAGTCTTTGAACCTATATGGAAATCAGAATGGGAGCAATAGAGGACCATATGGTACTAGTTATGATTATAGTGGACTGTAGCATCAGGCATGTATGCGATTCAACGTAGGCTTTACAACAGCTGCATAAATCCTGATCTGATTCAGTATAACAACCTTGTTATTCAGGATAAACTTAAGTGTAGCCTTATCTTCAGTATAATAGATGCTTCAGTGGTAAGTTGCTGTGCTCATCTCAGGTGTTCCTATTTTCAGGCTCTTTCAAGTATCAGAAAGCATCTCTATCTATGAACATGGAGTTCAGGGAGTAATACTGGGCAAGCTACCATGAGAAGCTGTAGTAGATGCTAATTATGACGTGTTGCCTGAAAAAATGTAGTAGAGCCAAATCAGTAGAGGTATTAGGTTGCCATACATCTGGAATTTCTTCATTCACTGTGATGCTTTATTACCCCTTTTTGGCAAGGAGGCTCTGAAAGAGGATATAGTGAAGTCTTGGATCACAAATGGAGGACATGCTGGACATCTTTTTGATTGTTCTTCCAGACATTTGTTTTTTAGGGTAGGCAAGAGCCCTGCTTGGTTACTTGGCTCACCTTTTTTCCTCCTTTCTTCTTCTAACTCCAGAAGTGGTAAGAAAATTCAAAAGAGAATATGGCTTAGCATGATTCTGTAGCACCCTCTTGAACAGGCACTGTTGGTGTGGACATACGTGGAAGTTTTTCTTCAGCAACCTATGATGCTTTTGATAGTTAGACCTTTGCTATTAGAGAACCAAGGCTAATCCTTGCATCTGTAGTCTCCTTTTCTGCATTTTAATAGGACTGTTAATTGAGATTAAATCTTATGAAAAGATCTTATTCTTAGGCAGTCTGCACCAATCCATGTCAATGGAAGACATAAGTCTACCTGATTTAAGTCTGCAAAAATGCAGGCCAGACAGAAAGCCATTTCCGATCAACCAATTTTAAGTGAAAATTAAATATATCTGGCATTATTTGCTGTACCTTAGAGATTCAATATTATTAGCTGAATTAGTGTTAAGTCATAGATTTGGAAAAGTTTTTAACAGTTTTGTAAGGAGTGTATATCTGCTGCTTTTATTTTCTCTTCCATCAGTTTGCACAGCAAATAACTGGGATGCGGTTCTGTGAAGCCAGTGCCAAGGATAATTTTAACGTGGATGAAATATTTCTAAAACTTGTTGATGACATTCTGAAAAAGGTAAAACATTCAGGTGGTAGTTTCTGTGACCATGTAAAAGGTCAGTGTTTAAATACTGAATGGCTTCAGATACCTGTTGGGAGGACATATAGAGCCAAGGTACACACTGTACGTACACACTATCCAGCTAAGTTTTTAGTTAATGTATAGTGAGCCGGACTTTACTTCATGCTCCAGTTCATAAATACTGCTGTTGAATTTGTTATACTTCTGCTCCTATTTGTCGCCACTTCACTTTACAGCAGAGCTGACTGCACGCTTGCTTGCTTTCATCTGCAGCCATAATTTCCAGAGTATGCCTCAGATTATTTAAGGAAAAAACTCTGCTTTGTAATGAGTCAGACTGGAATGCGAGTTAAGATCTATGGAGGGAAGCAAGCTGTCAGCAACTTGACTGACTCGATCTATCAGAGTGAGTGGAGGAGCAATCTCTGTGCAAGCTGTAAGAGCGGCATACCAGAACTGAAGTTCTGGATTCCATTTTCAGTTGTCAGATGCTGGTTTTGGTCTTGGATTCATGTTTTAACTCATTAGTATACGTTTCATATCTAGAGCGAGACATTATGTCGCCATATTTGAAAAGTATCATTTTGTAATTTTGAGCTGGAGTCCTGATGTGTTGAAGGTTTTCACAGGGTGGTTTATTACTGAAAGCCATCAATATTATAATCACTTTCAGTGATGAATGAGTCGACTAGTTGGATGTTTCTGGTCTGTTGTGCTCTGTGTTCACAGTCTTAAACTGCTTAAAACTGATAGAAAAATTACTTTGCACTTTTGAGACGGCAAACTAAAATGCTCTTTGCGTTATTCCTTTGGAAGAGTTTCATTTATGTAATCCTGGAACCAAACTAATAAAGACAGTGTTGTGAACATCAATAACTTTTTAAAACCACCAAGGATTTTTTTTCATGGTGAATCTCAAGCATGTAATCAGTGAAAGCCTACTAATAATTGTCTAATCAATGTATAACTCTTTGAGAAGTGCCAAATACTGTTTAAAAGATAGGTGAAGATTATTGGCCATTTCTAGTTCGGGAAATGATGGACTAGGAATAAACCATTTGCTCATAGCAACTTCTTTTCAAGTATGATTAAGATCTTGGGAGTTCCTCGTTTCAGAATTGTGCCATATCAGATAAATTGCATTCTCCTTTTCATACATGTCACTCCTGCATATCAGAAGACATGTAGACAATGAATTGATATGGAAACAACTTCTAAATGAAACTTTTCCTCTTCTACTCCATGTTTTGTTGTAATTTGTATGTTTAGGAAGTGGCTTTATTTCAGCACTGTTTTGTAACTTTTTGTTCCTGAAAGAAATTCTTAAAACAGCTTACTCTAATGTATTTTATTAGTAAGAACTGAAAGATCTATGTTAGTGTTGGCTGACTGAACTCCTTTTGTGCTGAGCTCTGTGCAGATGATTGTTTATAGAGGGTTCTTTTTCTCTTTAAGATGCCACTGGATGTTATAAGAAATGAGTTGTCCAACAGTATCCTGTCCCTGCAACCAGAGCCAGAAATCCCACCAGAACTGCCTCCTCCAAGGCCACATGTCCGTTGCTGTTGACTTGTTACTCCATACAGAGTGAAAAATAGGAGTGGGAGGGAAAAGAAAGTATCCTTACTACTCTGCACTACAATCATTTGGCAGTTTCTTGTTGCACTTTGTTATTTGAGTCAGAGCTACACACTAATTTGTAAATATGCAAATATGTAATCCTGTGTAGGATTCAGCTATAACATTTAATTATTACCCCTTTCCCTCACAATTGTATTTCATTTATTGCCCCAGTGTTATAAATATTGTACAGTCTGTGGGGAACTACCACACTTCCAGTCGAGGAGGAGGAAATTGAATCTATACCTATTCTTGACATAAATGTTGTAATAGTTCTTGTTATTATAAACAGGCAGGCAGAAGCTCTTCTGGTATGAAGATAAGTATATGGTGCTTTGCTAACTATTTTAAAGATGAATTTTTTTAAAACAGAGGACTTTATGTACAAAGCTTCCATAATCAGCATTATATTTCCTTTTAGTGTAGTGAAAACACTTCTGGCTGTAGCATCCTCTGCTGACTGGATTTATTGAAAAGCTAAGTTTAATTTCTGGCAGTCTCTTATTTATTTTGTTCAATGCTGAACCCTCCCTTTGTGTACTAAGACATCCCATTTGGTGCAAATTTAAGATTGCACTCTGAAATTGCGTATATAATTTTTTGCTTAAGCATAAACTTGGTTGCGGGAATCATTAAGATTCAATAAAAAATTGAGATGTGTTCAACTCTAAAAGAAGATACAGAAAGCAATGCTGCTGTCCTAGACAAATTCTTTACAAAAAAAATTAAGATAATACATTTTCCTGTGTTAAGGAATATATATGTGTATTTGTCTGGACATCTGTAGGGTGGGAGGTGGGAGGGAACTTAAGGTAAAATGTTTTTTTTCCTAATGGTGGAAATTATTCCCATCAAGCATATACTGTGTTTAGGTTTTTGTCTGATAATGAATTTGTGAATTATATCTTTGGTATATCTTTTATTAAAATGCACTGTTTAGTTTAGTTGTGGTAAATCGGTAGTTACATATTTGAATAACTTGGTGTGTCCTGAATGTTGTGGTATTGAAAAACATTGTGGTCTTTCTAAACTAATGAAGTGCAAATAAAATTTTGTATTTATGAATGACAGTGGAACTGCACCTGTTATTAGAGTGGCAAACATCAAATGATGGATAAAAGGTAAAGTCTGTTGTATGGAACAACTTTTACTCTAATTTTCTTACGGTTTGATTTTCATTGTAACAGTTCCTCTAGGTGTAGTCAGAAGAGCAGCCAACATCCATTGTTTGCTCGCACCACTGCCCTCTTGGGATGACCTAGCCCAGCCGATACCCTCAAATGGCATGTGACTGCCTGTCATGCTACCTTAGCAGGTGGTTGCAAAACTATTGATTACACTGGGAACACAAATATGAACCAGTCTTTTCAGATTGCAGCTTCTTTACTCTTCATTCTCTGGTGCTGGAACCCGTTGTGTCACTTTTGCCACTGTTCTAGCATAAACACTGGTACTGACCAGTAAGGTATACCACTGACTTAAGCAGCTTCTCTCTGTTTTCTAGAAGGAAAAAAGACACAAAGAATTGTTAACATTAAAAATAAAATTGATTTTTGAGCCCTTATTTCACTGAACAAGCTTGGACATTCTGAGTACAATACCATATTGGTAATTAGCACACTGTTTTCAACTAACAAATTAAGGAAGCATGGTTGATATTTGTGCTTATGTCTTCTGCCACCTTGTGCCTAAACAGTTTGCTTTTTTACGTGGTAAACTTATGGTTTACTATCATATTGGTAAATTAAAACCAATTTCTAAAGCACTTTTAAGATTTCTGATAGTACTGTGGGCAATAGCAAGGACGGATAAATTATGGAAAATGAATTTTAACTTGACAACCACTTTATTTTAGCTGATTTGTTTTTACATGTACTTTAGAAACTTGTGAATTTTTTTCCTGAAGTTTCTGAATTTAATAAAATTTAAGAAACCTGACTTAGATGAACTTTCCTCTTGTAATTCTGTGCTGTTTGTTTGTATACAGGTAGATTGGGAGCCCAGTCTCTGGCACCAAAAAATGAAAAGTCATTGTATTTGACAAAGACATATTTATGTAAGAATGCTTAAATGTATTTGCTTATTCACTGGAAGTCATAAAAAGTTCAGGAAACTTGTTTGCTTTCCATCCATTGTAATAGGAGCTTGAAGAGGGTGTTGCCTCCTACCTTTTTCTCTACAACTTTTACATGACTCGAAGTTCAGTTATGTGCGAAGGTGCAAGAGAAAAAAAATTATTGTTCTTGCTTCATTGCCTCGCATGCAAGTTTAGCTGTCAGCTCAAGCTTTGTTAACTTTTAATGAAGGACTGTTTGAGTGAGTGGCCTGCACAACCATTGGCAGATTAAAAGATGAAAAAAGGCAAGCTAGTTACAGTTCTAAATCTTTTCTAACTTGCGTTAGCTGATCATCCTTCTTCAGGAGATATTCTGGTTAGGAGTAACCTGTTCCAGTCTTCAGGGTGTGTGCTGGGGGGTTGTTTCCTTCTAATACAGCCAATGTGCTGTACCACTAGAACTTGTCAGATGTTGTGAGGTCCTCTAGTTCCTGCCAATTTCTTTATGCTGGAGAAAATACACAGCAGTATTTTGGAAGGCAAACATGGCAAGCATAAATCCCGGGAGTGTCAGAAGCAGGATAGCAACCTCTGCTCCAAAGTAGCAGCAGTTTCTTGACTCTCGTGAAATAATGGCAGATAGATCCTGCCCGTTGAACAATGTTTTCACTGATTTTGGTGTGATTAGGATTAAATCCATTAATACCTAAAATGGCACGATTTCAGTGGTATGTCCAGTTAGCACTGTGGATTGCAGTGTCTTGTACCAAAACTGAAGTTCATTTCTGTTAATAGACTGATGAAATATTTGATCATGACTGCAGTGTTTTATATCCGTTTATAATGGACGCTCAGCCAGCGGGTTTATTAACAAATCACTTCTTCATAGATGAGCAGAAGGAAAGTAGGAAGACGAGCATTTTTTATCTTTTGTAATACTGAATCATGATATGGAAAAAGCTGAAAACTCCTGGCTTACCAGCATACCTTGTATTAAGTAACAGCTATCACAGCTGCTATTGTGCTGTGTGGTGGTGTGTAGCTGCAGTCGTGCCTCCCTTCCACCAGATGCTCTGCTCCTTCAAAACAGAGGTACACAAATGATTTCAGTGTTCGGTACCACTGAGGAATGGGGAAGAACAGAAGCAGGAATAAAAGATAGGAAGTTAAAGGCCAGGGTATGGCAGCTTGCTACAGCAAATTTGTGTTTGTGCCCTTGCTGGCAACTTCAGCATTCTCTCATTTGTGTTGAGTGCTTCATCTGTTCTTCATGTCACTTCACTGACAGGGCAGAAACCTCTGGCAGAGGAGGGGAAAGACATGAATATCTCGATTGATTTGCCCCTTTATCGTTGTTATTTGTGAAAGTGGTAAGTGGTAAGCTGATCACTACTTAGAGTGCTAGATTTAAACAGGATAGGGAATTCAGTAGGTCTTTCTGACTTGGGCAAGGATTTCTAGTTAATCCAGTTAGCCTGGAAGCCAATGGTTATCTTATCGGACTAGTATTATGTGTTGTCTAAATAGGGCTGTTCTGCCAGCTCTCAGTGCAAGCATCTCGGCTTTGTAATCGTTTCACCCAGTGCCTCTGCCTTCCTGTGTCAAAATCTGAGTTAGGAAGATTTGTAGCAGCTACGTTTTTGAGGTGGGAAGAAAAACAAAGTAGGTAGGAAAAGTGGAATAGAACAACCAAGCTAGTAAAGAAGGAACTTTTTCCAAAGGAGAGTATAGAATGCAGACCACTTCCAGCCTAATCTCTCCCCCATATGGAGAGCTCATTCGCACGAGTTTTCTGTAGTTTGCGAAAGAAAAAAGAAATGACATCAACCAGCATGAACCTCATTCTCCATTATTATGTTTGTAGTTCCTCGTTCAGTGGAAAAGGTAGTAGTTTTACTGAAGCAATGAATCTTTGCCCTGTAATGAAGACTGCTTATTGACGTGTTAATGGTAGGTACAGTCGCACTTGTGGGAGAAAAGGTAGCAATAATGTATTTATTGGATCTTTGAAATAACTTTAGAAAAGACTCAATTGTGCTGAACAGAACTATTCCTTTTAAAGTTGTAGAAGTGGGTCAATTCAAAATGTTGAGTTAGGCCGTAATATTTTTCACTTCTTTTGGAAAGAGATTAAAAAAATCAGTTGACTCTCCTTTAAAAAAAATGGAATTGACTTTATCATAGCTTAGTTGTCAGAATAAGTGCATTAAATATAGTGTGTTCTTTCTCTTCCCTCTGGCTTAAAACATTTCACATGATCCGAGTATGAAGGTCACTTCCAAATAATTGCAGTTATCTTGAATGTGGGCTGTTTATATGTGAATATTACATAATGAGAAGTCGAGGTGCCAGAGGTTCAGTATACGAAGTTTTAAATACTGCCAGTTTTCACGATGTAACTTCGATTTTCTTTAAGGGCGGGTGCACTAATGTAAATTGTCCATTAGGGGTCGCGGGAGCGCCACCAATAAAGAAGCCTGTAATGTGTCCTGTTGAATTAGGAATTGCTTCTTATTTCTTCCTATTGAATAAACTTATATTGCCAAAGCTTCTCTTTTTTCAAAAGCAGAAATTTAAAGTTTAATAGTGGTGAATAGCTGTGAACACTGAAAATATTACCAAAGAAATGTACTAGCATGTTATGTTGATACAAGGAAGCAATTATTTGAAGGTTTAAAAATAGACACTCTTTTTCCTGCATGCAAAAAGTTGTGTATGCTTAAATATCCTTTCTGGAGGTAAAAGGATATTTTAAGGTAACTTTCAGTGATCTGTATCATAGTTGCCATTTGTTTAATTGTACTTCCTGAGGACCCACTTTTACAATTTCTTCAGAAATTATGAAGTCTCTAGCTGGGCTGTCTTCTTTTCCTAATAAATGAATCAAAATATAAACAACCCTGACTGTGATTTATTACTTGTATTTCTACTAGGACTCAAAATATCAACATTTTACCTTAGAATTGCCTGCTAAAATCTGTTCCTTATGTAATTAGTTGATTAGCTAGCCTTGCGTGAAATTTTTTTACTTCCAACTCTGGACACAGTATGCACAACATCCTTCAGGAGGCATTGCGTATTCCTTAAAATCACAGAGGGTAAGTTTTGGGTTTAATTCTAGATATTTCAGAGGTCCAGTTCTGTACAAATGCTGTTCAACAGATGCTGTTCTACTACAGAGATCAAGGCTAGATCAAGGCTCTTGAAACAAATTGTCACGTCAGTCTATGTAAGGGCCAGGCCTAGCAGAAGAATCCAATATCCTGTAGATTGCAGCAGATAGTTATGAAGCATTTATTCTTTATTTATAATTTTACTTTTGCATTTACTGAAGATGATTTGTGGCTCTTAGAAAGGACTGCATGCAATATTCAAAATGTGATGTTGGCATAGCTTAACACAATAGTATAACAGCACTCTTTAGTGTCATCCTAACAGTGCCTAGTATTCTGTTTGTTTGTTTCACTGCTACTGAGCTGGTATTTCCATGTCATAATCAATAACAAGATTTCTTTCCTGGATGTTAATATCTAGTTCAATGCCCACCATTTGCTGTGAAAGTTTAGGACTGGTTTTCCTCAGCTGGGTTATTCCGTATTTGTTGACATTGTCCTTTTATTGCCTTTTATTGTGAACTCCCTTCAGAGCTTTTCTTTTATTTGGCATTGTTAACAAACTTTATCATTTCACAGGTTTATTCTTTTTCTGGAACATTTAGGAATATGTGAGAATTCCACGTACTTCCCAGTTCGTTTCAGAAAACTTGCCACTCAACGCTACTGCTTGCTTTTTATAATTTAGTTGGTAACTTACCCAGAGGAGGACCTTTTCTCTTATCCGGTGGCATCTTAATATCTCTGAGAGCCTTTGGTGAGGGACGTGATCAAATACCTTTTGTAAAATGTAGATCATATCAACTAGTTCTCTCTGTTCATGTGCTCTATGATGGCTGGATATCATGTTAATAGTTTCCCAGTAATTTTCTATATGCATTCTGTTCTTTGATTACAATAGTTACCAATTTACCCACTGTCAATGTCAGGCTGATGTGTCTTAGAGAACTCTGTTCAATGGAATTTGCATGGGGGGATAGGAAGCCTAATAAGCAGATAAGCAGACAAAATCTATAATTCTTGCACTAGATATGTAAACTCACCACTCAAAGGAAAGCAAAGGTAGGTTGCACTACTTCTGTCAGCTTAAAAGCAGTGAGAATCTCCATATTGCTATTTTAAAAGTTTAAAGTTTGTTATGTTTGTTTAACTTGCACCACTGGCTTTGTTCTGGATGCACATCTGTCCCGAAATAGCTCACCTTTGCAGGTTCTTTTGGACTCTGTGCATCTAGACATAAACTATGCAAAATAACAACAACAAAAAATATTCATGGGAATCAGTTTGTTACTCAAGATCATGTTATGGGGAAAAAGGGGAGCACACCTTGTATGTGAAGCCAAGAACTTACTGTTAATCTAATTGAAATTTTAACAGTCTTATTTAGAGTACAATAAGCAGTTACTATGATTAATCCAGTTACAATGGTACAAAATTTCACAGTCCAGATTGATTAATACAAAATAAATCTCATGAGTAAATAATTTTTTTTTAATTGTTGCATAAAACGTGCACGTATACTGCGTGTTGATGGTGGGTTCCTCTTTGTCAGGAGGAATGATGTTGCCTACCTCGTCAGTCTAGGTTCCACTTGGGGCTATTTTTGTGCTTTTTTAATACACTTGTACACTTTGTTCTTTCTTCACTGGTCTGCAACTACATGTTACATCTGAGTGTACTATATATAGTGCGTTTTACCTATGTTAGATACTGCTAGATTTTTTTTTTTGTTCTGTGTTATTGCTAAAACTGGTTTTGCCTAGCTCTAAAGTCTGCATATCTTTAATCAACCACTGGTGAGTTCTTTACAGACTGGCGTCCTTAGTATTATCCTGAACCGCCTCTCTGAGCAACTCATGCCTGTATTTGTCTGAATTGCATCCAGTGTCCCCAGTTCTGAGGCCACTGTTGTCATACTGTGCCTGCGTATGCTGTATCATTATGTTCAAGTTTGAAGTACTTCATTCACAGAATAACCAGTTGTCACTATAAAAACTATTGTATCACATGATTATAGTAAGATAAGCAAAAGTACACAGTTTGGGCAGTAGCCATCTGATCGCTAGGAAAAACACCGTTACAACTAGTCAAGCTAAACCAAAGTTCCAGTCATACCAAGACGAGTTCAACCTCTCGGTACAAAACCTAGTACCTCTCAGGTACAAAACCAGCCTGTATCTGGGATCCTGGCTACAATCTACTTGCTTCACTGCTTTGTGTGAAAACTGGCAAGCCGTTATTGGTTTAACAGTCTAAAATCAAAGCTTTACTTAAACTAGTTAAATCTTTTGTAAAAGGTGTAAAAAGGAAATGAAATAGTCCTTTATCAGAAGGATGGAAAAAAAAATCCAATGACTCTGTGAGCAGTAAACAAAGTAGTCTCAAAATATGAAAGTGAAGAAATGTCTAGGAAAGGTATCCAAAATGCCCAAGATCCTTCCCCGCACCCGGAGAAGTCTTACTCCAGGAAAACTAGAATGTAGGTGTGAAGATATATCAATAAGCAATAAAATATATTAATAAGCTTAGAAAAAATCAGATTATACATGAATTGCCTTAGGGAGATGATAATCTTTTTGGAAATTAATCAGAAATCTTATTTTAGCGCTCACAATTGCTCTTCAAAAGTTCTTGAGGAGCTGAGAGGTCCTGGAGTGCTGTATTCATGGCTTGCTCTGATCTTGGGAGGAAGAAGAGAATGTGGCAACTACTCTTTAGTCAAACATCACATTAAAGCGACAACATAATTTGTAACACAAAATATTAGTGAAAAATCAGTGTTTTCTCTAGGTACCTGTAGCTCCTCTGCAGGTCCCTGGCAAGGCATCACAAAGCTAAAATAGAACAAATTTGTGTATACTTATGTATATTGTATATACCATGTCAACGTTAATAAGTATTGTGGCCCGAAAGGAGCAGATCTATAGAACTGAACTGGTGCTGATAATCCACACTGGGCCTTGCTAGGGCATGAGATATGTTGGACTAGTTCTGGTCTGGTCCTGTGGACTGAATGCCAGTTAGCAGCTGGAATTTGTTAATCGTGCTCCTAAAGGCCATCGTTTGGTTTAGTTTTCTCTTGAAGGAATCAACTTCACCTTCTCCAACACAATTCTGCAACGTGAACCAAAGTGCAGGAAGAGGAGATGATCCTGATCTGAGTTAAAACACTAATGTAGACATATACTAAATTGGATCATAACAATGGTGATTACAGCTCTTAAGTGGCATTTTGTATATACTCGAGAATGCTTTATTAGCAAAGAAAGAGAGTGACAAATAAGAACTGCAACAAGGAAAACAAGCAAAACAAATATGGGAGAGGAATACTAAGTTGCATAATAAATGCACTAAACCAAATTGTGAGATATTCTGCCAGGGCCACGATGAAATATGAAAATAAAACTGTAAGAGACCTGGGTCATCTGCACTTATATTGGATCAAGCTTTAAAATGCAAAAACACTGTCCAAAGGCCTGGAAAAGTGTACACTCATGATTCAATAGGAGAGAAAAATTTGGAAGGTAAGGTTGAAAGACAAGCACGCTTCAAACTGAATCTGCTTTTGCTGTCTCCAGTCCTTATTTGTAATGTCACGTCTCTTTTGCTACCTCTTTCTGGGACAAGATGTACTAGACTAAATAAAACGTCATCTAACGTCTTGAATTAAAACTTCAAAAAGCTTGGAGGTGGGAGGAGGAATTTGAATCTGTGGTGAAACCATCCACCCAGAAAATGCTTTTCAATGCAAGAGTAGTTATTGCATGCTCTTAACTGTAACTGTAAACCTAAGCTAACATAATATTGTGGTCATCCCAAGTGTGTGTTCCTGTGATTCCGATCTTTTACATCTCCTTAATCCCTGTGCATACTGCTTTATGCTTGTTCACTCTAGCTGCTGTCTGCATTCCACGTGCGATTTTTGTAGGCAGGCAGGACTATCTTTTTAGCAGTATCTAGCACCTGGTGACATTTGCATGCTACTCATGGTCAGAACTATTACTGACTGTCCACAGGGCAGTATGCAGTTTCAGGAAGCTAAGGTTAACGAGTAAATTCAGTTTTATGTCCTCCTGGGTCATATGATACTAAAGGGTAAATTGTGTTTGGATAAGAAAGATTGAAATTGTTGCAGCTGTGCTAGGCTCCACTCTGAGCCCCTGAAGAAAGTTTAGGCATCTGCTGAAATTGAAAATGTTGTTGTTAATAGAACCCAGAGGAGGATGGTGAGCTATCCTGACCAGGTAAATATTTCTTCTTCCAATAAATGGAAACCCCATGCAATTAGGTCAGTAGGACAAAGAGAATTTCAGTTTTTCTGCAATAACATCCCACGCTTTGCACAACTCAAAATAAGTAAATATCAATGTTTGCAAAACAGAAGGTTGAAAAGAAGGTTCTGACTTATGTGGGGTACCAAGTGAAAATCAGACAGTTGCCTCTGGGTGCCTGCTCACCTCTGAAGAGGTCAAAAAGCAGCTCCTGAAGTATATCAGTTTTCAGCTTGATGTAGTAAGGTACACAGACATCAGAGTTGATTAATTGAATCAGCCATACAATTTTAATCCTCCACCACTTAGAAAGTGAATTCCTATCAAATCAAAATGGGGTTTTTGTTTGTTTGCTTCAGTTATTCATAAAATTGTTGCGACTCACTGGTCTCAGAGAAAGTCTAACGTGTTCCAGCTCTGCCCTGAGGAGAGAAACAGGATATAAGCAGTGAGAAAAGGAGGTTATGCTGCTGCAATGTCTTTCTGACAGCGGTATCCCTTTTAATAAGGTATTGAGATTCCTATTTTCCTATATGGCAAAAGGAAAGAGTAAATAAAATGAATGGAATGGAGAATGCAAATGAGAATGGGGACGTGGGACAGTCAAACCTCCTGTCTTAAGTGTTGCATACCAAATAGTAATTCAGCTAAGAGTAATTCTGTCCTGTTTCACTTGGGGCGTTCAGTGGCCTGTGCTTTCCTTCTCCCTTACATCCCATCATTATCGATGAGTGGCTTCAAGGAAGGCTGACTAGAGGGAGCTGGACCTGTTCCTTTTCTCCTCTGGCAGAGGAGACACGTCTGGTCAGCCTGATCTCTGATCTCCCTTAAAAGCCCTTCCTTAGAGGGTATGTCTCAGCTGTGGCTAGTACTGTGGCCTTTCTCCCAAGCATACGACCTCGCACGTCCCCTTTCTCATTTAACTCCATACTGCAAAGGAGAAGACTGCACTAGCGAGGGCTTGAGAGCTTAGTAACCATTTATCCATACTTTAACTGCTCAGTGCGTTTGGCCACTCTTGCTGTAGGTAAGAGAATTAGAGGACTGCTTGAGGGGAAAACAAAAATAAAATGGGGACTGGAAATGCATATATCACAAGTAGACTGAATTCAGATGAGAGAATGGAAGTGAGCAAGCATAAAATAGAAGAGATGAGAGAAAGACTGAAGAAGCAATTATTGATGAGGTACCAGAAGGCGAAATTGTGCTCATAGTGTTAAACTTGGATTGTCAGGCTGTTGCAATTAGTGAGGATGATGACTGCATCACAGCCCTGGAGCGGAGCTCCTGGTCCAGCTGAACCATCAAAGTGTCCTGCCTGTCACAAATATGATAGCTGAGCATAGTGCAGGGCACAGATAGGATCCAAAGAGAAGCAGCACGAAAGTCTTGTGCATGCTTCTTACCTACAAGACAGGGCTTACAGGAGCCTCCTGAGCACTAGAGGAAGTGGAGGTCAGGGCATAAGGCAGTTATGCGATTTCAGTGAGTGAGGAGAGATTAAGATTGGGGAGTGTGGGGCTGGGAGATATAAATCTGAGGAAAGGCATAAGGCGTGAGAGGGATGTTCCAGTGAAATAGGGAAGGAAACAGAAGACCAGTCAGGAGAAGGTTCCCCTGGATTACTGCAGCCCTGGAGATCCTGTGGAATAAAAGTAGTAGAGAGCAAACAATTTGGAGTGGGAAGAAAACTACTGACATGAGAACAAAAGAATTAGAAGGGATGGAGAAAAAGGAAGACAGAGGGGGACAGATTGAAATGGAAGAGAAAAACTGTTGGAAAAAATGTTGGCAATTTTAAGGAGGTAGACTAGATCTTGCCAACAAAATTATTAGCATATGACTGGAAGCATCTTTCAGCTATAATCCAAATGTACGTACTTTGGTTGTTTCTAAAATATATACGTAGGGCTACCTTTGTAGTGGAACAAGAAACTATACCTTGACTTTTGTTCAAGCTATGTCAATAACAGTAGCAGCACCTGCTTTTCCAGCATTATAATATTTAACTTGGCATCCCATCTGGTGCTCAAGACAGCAGACCCAGGAGGGAGATGGATTAATATAGCTAAGTATTTTCTGCATGGGATAAACCTATTTAATGCCATTACATTATATCTTCTTATTCCTGCCTGTGGATGCACAAGTACCTAAGTGCTTGTCAAATACTTTGAAAATGTTGCTGGCTGCCAGAAGGGCAGTGTCCTTGACCATTCATCGCTGGCACAGAGCCATAATTAAGGAGTTCCTCAAATTCAGGATTGGAATCATGAGAGCATTTTATCCCATTTATTCCTATTTTATGGTAACACAACACAACAAATGTCTAACTTGGCCTTTTTTTACCCTCCCCTACTTTTTAAATTTCCGGATAATACTGCCCATATTCCATAATTCTTCTCTTAGTATGTGGTCAGATGAAGGTGCTCCCTCCTGATGACTAGTAGTCATTTTCTAGCAATTCTAATATTTCCGTAACTGAGATGAATGTTTCTAAGGGAATGGCTAAATGAGTGCTTACAGCTGTGGTCAGAACATAGTACAGCCAAACACTGTCATGAGTGTATGTTACACACCCAAAACTCAGTTCCAAATAGTGTCCGTGCTGCATTTTAAGTATCATTTTAATTCTTAGGCCTCTCCATGACAATCAAAATTCTTGTTACTGCAGGATTAGCCAGTGTCCAAACCTAGCTGGAAGAAGACTTTTCTCCCACAGAAACAGTGGGTGGAGATCTGGGTTTGCATCTGGGTTCACATCCTCACTCTCTGTCTAACTATTCCCTGTCTTGGCCAAATCAGAATGGATTGGGATTGTGATCCTGAGCCCTTTTAAATAACTCAGGTTCTGTTTTTCTCATTATAGACACAAATTTCAGATCCGGGATTCTGGTGTGTGCATAGGTCTTTCCTAGGCTATACATGATTATATTAGCTCATGGGTCTCAACCTGAAGAGAGTGTAATTTCATCCTTACACTTCAAAAGGTTAATCTCTTCTCATTAGAAATAAGAGGTCACATCATGTGGCAAAAAAAATAGTAACATACATCTGAATTTCCTACCCATGTGAGTTGTGGAAAAATGAACAGGAGTGGGAAGGAGTCATCGCATCATATACTTAACTCATCTAAATCTGGATGCCTAAATTAGTTTCCTACATCAAATCATTCTCAGGAGGAGTCATCTCTTTCACTCTTAGGAGAGTCTGGAGAGACTGGTCTTCTAATTTATATATCAAAGGTAAATACTGTAAAAAAAGGTACCGTGACTCTCTCTCCTTCTTCCCAATCTTTTAACTTCTTAAGCTGTTAACTTACTTATACTGCTGGACTTTCTGAAAAGTACATCAGGATGTCTTTTCTTGGGCTCTAGAGAAATAAGAAACAACAAAGAAACTTCAAGAAAGCAGAAAAGGAAAATTTATCAGAAAAAAAACCCCAGAGCTGAAAAGAAGGAGCTGTAGACGTGCCCAACAGCCACAACAATAATTGCTGCGTTTGCTGCTGACCTGTCGGCCTGAAGGAACTATGAAAGCTTAATGAGCAAAACTGGCTATGCGTTTAATAAAGGGGCTGAAGGACCAAAGAATGTCGTGTTTTGAAGACTTAACTACAGACAATCCAGGTAACTGTGCTACAGGAAAGGAGGTATTTCTTCGAGGCAATCCGAGGTGTGCTTCCAGCACAGGGAGGCAGGGTGGTCGCCGCTGTTGGGAAAAGGCTCTCCCCGTGCACGGCCCTTCCAAGCAAGTGCCCAGCTTTGCTGGCAGGATAGTGAGGCCCCTGAAGGCTGGGCTGCAACAGCTTTATTGCAAGTGACTTCAGCAGTGCAAAGGTTACAGAAACCTTTAATCTGAACCCAGCTAGATTAAAGCAGCAGCAGGTATGCCTAACCGTGCTGTAATGGTGGCTTTGATTATCTTCTAAAATAGAAGATCTTGACAACCAGGGTTGGGAAGTGATTATAAGAGTTACAGGCTTTCCCAAAAGCATAGGGAGGACAAAAACAAAAACCAAAATGAAAAACCCATTGATTTTTCTATTTTAAACTTCGTGACCAGCTATGGCAAAATGGTCTGCCAGGAGCCATCATAGCCTGACCCACAACAGAAGAAATACTACTGTGATGGATCTTGCATTTGACAGGTCAGCAACAGAGGTCAGAAAACTTCGCAGGTGAGGAGAGAGGTAAGGAATGTAGACCTGGCCTTGCCACTTCTTATTTGGCAAACGACTAGCTCTGAAGAAACGTAATTGAGTTTCTCTCTTTAAAATATGATTTTCATTTGCTTCCTAAGATTTAAAAGTAGTGGAAAACTTTAAGCAATTGATTGCACTCTCATTTGTGCTGAATTAGTGTGTACGAGAGGTATTAGAAGCTGCTTCTGTTGGTTTCATTTTGTGATGGACTGTCCTTTTCTTCTTCCTCTTGCCACCAGGACACTGTTCAGCAGTGCCTCCCTCCCAGGCATCAGCAGAGTGCCAGAGAGACAAACCAGCCACTAGTAGTACATGGTGATCAAAGTAAGTTTGCTGTCGCTTTTGGATTCCTGTAGAGTTTGGAGCCCTTAGTTCAACTTCTCGCACAGGCCTGCTTCTCCCGTCTTTCTTCACATAAGCAGTCTCGTGAAAATGGGAGCAATTCTGCCTTTGCAAACATTTTTCACAACAGTCTAGCTTTACTGGTGCCAATGGAAGTCCTCTAGGCTTGCACTGCTGTGAATTAAACTGGGCTCAGAGGATCAATGTTTATGGGTTACAGAGTGCTTAAATGTGTATAGGCAATGTCCTATGACTCAGAAATATCCTTGCCTTGGAAAAAAGTAATATACCAAACAAATTCTTGTCTTTCTCCGTTCTCATCTCTTTAATGTTGCCCTACATTTGTCTTAACACAGTTTACTGGACAAACGGCAAAAAAGGTTATCAGTTTTTTTCATTGAAGGCAGTGAATGAAAAACAACTACATTTTACTAGTGTAGACTAACTGAGCCTGTTTGTGGCTAAATACCCCCTAATGTGAAAGGTATCACCAGCTGTCAATATGACTGCAATAATAACATAGCAATGCACTTTGATTCTGGCATAGTTTCAACTCTTCCACAGAACTTAAGTCAAGACCATATATTTCAGTTACCTTCCTAGGCTCTAAAGCTTCAATATGAGTAATGAAGAGAAAGCAATTTGATTAGCTGGTGGAGCTGACTAGAAGGCACCTTCATTACAAAAGGAGGATAAAAGAGGAATCAAGCTATAGAAAATGGATTAAAGGTAGAATAATAATAATAGTATCAAACTGCATAACAAAGAAAAACATTTGCATTCAACTTAAAATAATATTTAATAGATGGCATAGTGATGTCCATGGCTTTATACTCTTCTAGCAGTTTCATTTTAATGATCTTTACCAGAGCTTGAGGTCCTTTGTTTTGTCCCCCTTCTACTAACATCAGCTGGAAGAGACGGAAATTAAAACAAGGGTAATTTCCCCATGGTCATTGCTTGGCACTATTTCTGCTTTGCTCAGCAGTGAACTGAAGTTCAAAGGATGAAGTACTGTCACTCAAACTGATTTTTCCCTCCACCCTTTCTTACCAGGGTTAACCACTCAGCCAGTCACCAAGGAAACGTGTGGCTCCCTGGCCCATCTTATTGCCACCCTGCAGCCTCATTTGGAGAAGGACACCGTAATCTCATTAGGAGGCTGAATTTGCCATTGAAGCTTGAATTCCCATAACAGGAGGGGAGTGGACTAATGCAATTAAGCAAATTAGTGTTTTGAGCCATTGCATGATATTTATCTAATAACATGAGAAAAGACTAGTTAGGTTTTTTTCCCTCCGTAATAAATAAACAAACAAACAAACAAACAGCCAAATCCTTCTCTCCCACGTTGCATTCAGAGAAGGAAATTCTTTACTTTTCTTCCGATTGTAAAGGTCTTTCATATTGAAAGATAATTATTCACTTGACCAAAAACCTGAATTTTCCCCCTCCTTTTGCCAGTATGTCCGTCATAGTGATTCTAGTACAGGTTTATTAGTTTTATCTGTGTAGTATTTGTGGTGTTGTGAAGTAGATGATTGTAACACAAAACTTTAGAGAGTTTAAATATTAACTAATTCTACTAATTCGGTAGCCTGCTGTTTTTGTTTTATTTTGCTACTGTCTTATGGTATGTCATAGTAGATACTGGATCAGAACAAAACTGTTGATTTTAAAACTGTTTTGAGGTGAAATGCTTTGCAAGTTCTATGAATGGCTATTTTAAAACATGCCAGATTTTCTGGAGATAATTCAGGCATATTTAGTAATGCTCTTGAAACGTGGATTATTAAATGCCTACGGCAGAGCTTTTCTGGCTTTTGTTGCTGGGTTTTGAGGATAATCCAGGCCTCCCCACCCCCTTCCTGCCAAGTAAACAAAGCAGCAGGATGAACTGTAGCAAAGAGGCGGGAACCATAAATCTTTAAATAATATCCTGGCACGTGAATTTCACAGGCAGCATATTTCTATGGGAGCCCGGGGCAGCGATGGGAGAAGCGGTGCGATAATGCTGTCGTTTGTGCCGCAGTGTTTCTTCCTGGCAAGGTGAAGGGTTGAATGACACAGGGCTGCTCTGCAACTAGGGGCCTGTTATACATACCGACTACCAAGGCGCGCAGGAGCTTGCAGCGCTCGCTTCTTGCTGTCCTCAATGCCCAGCAAGGAAGGCAGCAATCCTGAATGCGTTTTAGTAGCTGTTCTTGTGTTACCACTCATGCTCTCTTCAATAAATCCCAATCTGCCACTGGACATTACAGTCGGAAGGAATGAGGCCGTGGTTTATTACTAAATAAGGGCATTGGTTATGCACTTCGCTTCATATAAAACATGGTCCTTATCCTAGGCTGCTTACAAAATAGACATCTATTATGTAGACGGTAGACACAAGAGTCTCAACTGGCAATGTAATCTTAGCATTTTTGCCCCAAAATACAAATAACTTCAAGACTGAGTCAGCATCGAGAATACCCGTCACAAACTTAAGAGCAAACTATAGTACAGATATGCTGTGGTTATTCCAAAAGTGTCACGAATTTAAGTATCTCAATAGTTACAAGCTCCCAACAAGTGGGGGTTAGGATGTTAATGCAGGGAAATGTGTGTGCTAAAATAGAAAATACATGACTGAGGGCCCCAAACAAAATGAGCTCTCCACTCTGATGACAATAACCATACAGGCTGGATTTCAGTGTTTTAGTATTTACGGTGTCCGGCTAGATAAAGACAAAATTAAAAAATGAACTAATGTTTTAAAATATCTTTTTCCCTCCTGACATCACCACAGGACAGAAGTAAGGGATGGTTTTTTTCCTCGTGTAAATTCTTACGTAACATTAGTATAAGGCAGTCACAACTGAGGAGACATGCTGAACTGCATTTTTTTTTTCCTTTCATGATGTTTGGATTTAAATGTAGCATTAATCCTGAATATCCTGATTTGAAAAGCTTAGTTCTGTAACGCATTGTTTAGCATCCTTTAAAAGGCTTTACTTTATAAGTGTGTTGTAGCCTGGAGCTGACAATACAGACTCCAGTTCTTAACTTTATACTAAATAGTTTTGCTTGGAGAATTTTATTCATTTACCAAATGTTGAACTTCAAATCTGAACACGGAGAAAAAAAGGAAAAGAATATCATTATTTATAATCACTTGTTAGATAAACACGAAGTAACAACCCAGATGGGCAAATTCACCAAGATGCCAAAGAATATAAAATAAAGCATGCCATCCAGTAATGTTGGGTTTACAGCTTACATTATCCTCTGAACTTTTCCTGTATTCGGAAGTTTAAGGATTCAGAGCATTCATAACCAAGCAGTTCAAACACAATCTGTGAATCTGGCCTGTGGTTTTACCGTTGATCTCGGAGGCTGCGGGACTGTTACAGCCAGACTGAAATAAGACGTGAGATCAGGAGAACCTGAGCCCTAGTCTTTATGCTTGTAGCAATGGCTCCCCCAACAGTGTAATTCACCAAAGAAAATGCCACCCTCGTTACAGTGCACCGAACCGTTGCAGGCAATTAGCTTATCAGTAGAGAAGCGAGTAGCTGACTTAGCTCTGCTATCGCAGTGACACACGGAAGAATCACCTGCACTGTTGTTCTGAACCTGCCGGGAGTCTATATAATCACAGAGATTAGCTAGAAGGGCCATTAATAACTTCGCAGAATTGTAACCTAATTTCTTCCAATATATCCCATGCACATGATAAAATTAAGATTAATTACATGAAAAGGGAATGCATTATTCCATTGTTAAAGGTAACCTGAGAGGAAGGAAAAAAGACTGATACAAATGCTATGCTTCCTAGAATTTAATTAATTATACATCCAGCTAATTAGTACATGTTATTGAAAATTCTGAAAGGGCAAGTGCCAAAAACGTGGAGCTTTTGACACAGAAGAAGACATTGAAGCCATGTTCTGTGTCCACCATGAAATGCAACTTTATCTGGGGACCTGTGACCACCGTCCCCTCGGTAGCTGGAGCATAGCTGTCCTGTTGGAATAGATCAGAGTTTCTGGCGACAAGGAGCCTGAAGCAAAGTTTGTGCTGATGAGGTACGAAGGCAAGGCAGGAGTTTTCTAAGCTGGCGGTACCTGAGAGCGGATATGAGAACGAGAAACCAGGGAAGGTATTCACTGCTGTGTGAAGAGGTAAGAAATGAAGAGCAGAGCTAGAGCTACTCTGTTTGTTTTACAGTGTGCCTGAGATCTGCCAGCGGCATCCAGCTTAATTACACAAATTAAAGGTGACCAAAGTAGGATATTCCACTGAGCGTGCTGATGTTCTGTGACTGGTAACAGGCCTCGGCTGAAGCAAGGGAGTTGGATAATCCACGTTATTTGCTCTGGAGCAGGTAAGATAGGAGAGCACTGCCAAGCACCCATGACCAGGTTTTCCTGGTACCAAGGCACGTACGTTGTTTCATCGCACACTGGGGTATTGAGTTCACTGAGCAGCAATCATCATTTTCCCCTTCCTTCTCAGACCTCTTCCTTCTCTAGTCTCTTTTTGATGGTATATTTTGTGGCTCTGCAAGTTTCCATCACAACAAGGTTTCAATAGGTGGTTTACACAGTCCCTCTCTACTACAGATCAGACACACAATATATTCCCCAACGCAGCTTTGCAGCGTACACCTCTGTCTTGACCCAGCAGCAGACTTAAAGATAGTGGGCTCAAGCTGTGGGCCTCTGGCATTTTTCCTACCGCTAATCAGAAATTGAGTACCTTCGTATTTCATGTGTGGAGAGAAGCAGGAGGGATAAACCCATGAAGATGGTAGGATAAGATCTTAAAAATTATGCTACAGGCAAGAATAAAGATTTGAAGAGAGTAGTAACATGGTCCAAAGGCCAAGCATGATTTTGATACACTGAATGAACAAGAGTTAGATGAGACGAGGAGACAGGACACAGAGATAAACAAAGGCATGGGCATTCTTAAGGAAAAGTGTAGTAAAGGAGGATAAACTTCAAGCTAAAAATTAGGGTTTTTTTTATATTCTGAGTGTTAATTTCTTTCATGCAGTCCCGTAAGTGCAGTAAGTGTTAGCCTAGGCTGCAGGACTCATTTCATATTTTTTAATCACTTGAAGAATTTGTTAAAATAGTACATAATATACATACAATTAATCTCTTTTCTGCTTGAGATTTTAAACTCTTTTCTTGAATAGAAAAAGTACAGTGTACAGAATCTACAATTAAAGCAACTAAACAGAGCTTTAAGGTTATAAATGATGATGAGCTTAAAAATAATGACAAACTGCCAACTTAATAGATGCTTAAGAATTTTCTTGCACTTCAACAGAGAACAGAAGTATTATAAAAACTGATGTATCTCTCTGGAGAGTGGCAATGAACATTCTTACTGCAAGAGTCCAAAAGAAATGAGAACACAACTTGTTGTGTGGCATGCAGGAGCACTGCAAGGTATGAATACATTACTGTTGACAGACAGCAAAAGAGTGAGTCAGGTAGGTATTGTTCTTTAAGTGGTGGCTGTCATACTGTAATGCTTTACATTATTGTATAGTGTTTATTACTAAAGGGAAGTGCCCTAATTTTAATGCCAGCACTTTGTCTGAAGAGTCCCACACGCCTGTTTTGGGGGAGAAGCAACATTGATTCGTGTGGAAAAGGCAGAAGTGAGTAACACTAAAACAGAATAGGGTAAAAATATAAAAATAATGGAGTTTTAGTGTTCCTTTTGCAGGAAATGCTCTATGTATGATGTAAATGATACAAAATGAATGCATTTCTAGCAATGAATTAAAAATGAGAAGTGGCACAAATATAAACTTGCTGCTGTTAAAATCAGACCGCAATACAATGTTCCTCATTAAATACCACATTATGCTGGCACTCTTTGGAACGGTGTTGGGCTTTAAGGGCTGAGTGGCTCCTTTATCAGATAACATGAAGTGCAGAGAGACACAAAATCCTGATGTGACGAAGGCCTGTAGTGTGTTGGGTGGGTCTATTACGATGATGCACTGAGAAACCGGCAGAGGGTATTAGACATGGCCATGGTGTCTCACAGTCTTCTCCACCTCCTTCCAGCTTCCTCCCCTTTTTCTCGTAGTTCTTTTTGTCCACGTGGAAAAGGCATCTGAAGTATGAGTAGAGAGATAAGTGCAAGTTACTATCAGGCTGCAGTGAGGTAATTTTCCTAACGTATTGTAATAGAAAGTATGTCCTAGATCTAAAGGAATTTTATTAATTTGTGGAAGGTGATTTGATTTGTGAGCTTGTTTTTCTTTTTCCTCTCACCACTGTGATGCTAGAGCTACAGAAATCTAGGTGCGCAACATGACTTATAATCCAAAACTAGTTATTGGTAATGTGTGCCAAAACCATCAGGTTCGGTACAGATCTTTGAACAGTGGTGAAAGGTTGACCTACTTCTCATCTCCAAATTTTTCTCAGCACACGTATTTTAAGATGCCCAAATGGCTGGGTTTTTTAAAGGCTGTTGCCCAGCATAATTTTCTTACTTTTAACCCACAGAATAGTTCCTTTTTAAAGCAAACTAAAGCTATATTCTTAACTGTTGAAAACTTCCCTGACAATCCTGATAAAATTACTACACTAAAAAATTGCCACAGTGATCTTGGTTCAATCATTTGGACTTCTACAAATTGTCTGAGCTTCGCTACATTCTTTCTATGAATTTACTTCAAAAATACCATTTTTATTATGACCTATTCCCCCAATTCAGTCTTTACTCATGTAGTTTTCTAAATCTTCTTTAAGTTTGTTAGCTTAGCTTTCCTTGCTGCTTATAGGCCATGGTGCAGGGTATATGTTTTAGCTTAAATTTTTAAAATGCTATGGACTTCCCTCTGGTAAGAAACAGAAGAGAGAAGAAAGGCTGATTCATGTTCCATGTCTTGTCATTTTCTACTCTATCATACATTTCTCTTTCACTTTTCTTAGTCTAGCTAATTCTAAACTTTAAGAAATCTCTGTCATATTTAATCAATGCATAAATGAAGGTTACTCTGGGGTTAAGAGCACAGAAATCAATATGCATTGCTGCTTCCAGATTCCACCGATCCAGAAACAGGAATCGGGGCAGGTGTTTTGAGGTCCTACTTGCTAAAGTGGACATAACTAGACATAAGCAATTTATGAACAGAAAATAATTGAAATAAGTAATGAATTTTGGAAAACCATAGATGGATCTTTAGCAATTTGCACATGTATGCAGATGCTAAAAATGATGAATACTTTTTAGTTAAATTATTAACTCAGCTCTAGTCTACTGTCTTCCATGGATCTAATGTAAATTTTTCACAAAATGGTCACTTAGCTAATTTCGTTAAGGTTTTCCTAGAGCATGTCAGTCTTGAGCAAATTTGGTGCATCCTCAGTCACATCATCTTTTGAAAATAGCAATTGTATTGTAATACTCCTTGACAAATTTCCACTATTAACTGCTTTCCGTGTTTACCAATTATTCCTACATACTTCCTACCTTGTAGTCAGTTTTCAGTTCATTACAAGATGAATTTCCAACCAGCTCCTAAGACAGATTTATCAAAATGCTGCAGAAAATTTTAAATAAGTTGCAATTGCTGTTTCCTTGCATTTCATAAACTCCTGGACATATTAGAAAAGCATTAGTCATTCTATGGAAGTCTCTCTGGTTTCATTATACTATTTTTAATTAGTGTCTACTATACAGCTAAGGCTGAGTCATCTTCTGGACTCCACCAAACTCGCCCTGCAGCGGGGTGGCAGCAGTGTAGCTCACAAACCCACGCTGCAAAAGGGGCTCATTTTCAGTCCTACCGCAGCTCTAACACTCCTGAAGGACCTATCGCCATAGTACCCTTTAGAGACAAATGCTTGCTTGTTCTTATTCCGTGTTAGGATAAATTAGTTCGAGAAGTTACTAGTGCAATGTTAGTATGAAAAAGACAGCACAGGGAACTTATAATTACTCCCAGACCAAGACAGTGTCCAAGGAACTCTATTTTTTTTTAATGTAAAAAGATCTTTGTATGAATATTGGAATAATTATACACATGTAAGGCATTCAAGTAGGTTTAACATGACTGCTAGCACCATGCTATAACCTCACAATTATAGATAGAAAATATTCAGGGTTGTAGTTGCACTCTGCCAGGCAAGAAATTGAATATAAGATAAATACAAAACTTGTCTTCCTCCTACCTGGTTTTCCTGCAGTGGCAGGGCACTGTCTCATTTCAGCATATTTCAGAAATGAACCTTACAAACTAAGATGCACTAAGTAACTATCAAATTTTACCTTATTTTTTATAAAATGTGGACATTTCCAGCACTAAATGACATTTAACTGGTTCAAATCAGCACGAAATCAGAACATCTCAAAGTTCAGAAAAGATATAACAGTTATATCATTAGTTAATTTTCGAGGTTTTTTTTAGAATGCTATTCCATCAGTATTAAGGACACTTCTTTCTTGATATGGTACAGTAAAAAATGTGTTGCTGATCTGAAGATATTTTTGATGGACTTTAACTCCCTATTTTAGTGAAGAGATTCATTGTTGAAACATTTATTACAGATGCAGGGAAACCATGCATTGTTGCTACAGATCAGGTAAAGGCTGTAATTTACTACAAGTATTGTTAATATCATTTTAATTGTGTTAACTACATAACAAGTTAGTGAAGAAAGCAAAGCTTATCCTTTGACTTCTGAACAGGAGGTGCTGACAGCATTTGTTTGAATTCACAATTTAAAGTAAATAAATTATTTGCTGGAAGAGCGAAAAGAGCGTGGAGCTGTGTATATGCCGTTGCTACTGGGCTTTCTGTGAATCGTGTATGCCTTTGTCCTCTCTTTTCCTCTGCAAACAGTGATCCATTTACAAACATCCCTCTGAAGTATGGAAGCCAGTATTACTTGCTTGTGCTTCTCTCTGTTTGGGGATAATGCATTCCTACTCATTGGTTTCTGCTTCTTCCATGCTTTTATTTTTCAGTACTTAGTCACTGGCAGGTGGGCGTTGAGTGTGCATGTTCCTTAAAAATCATTGATTTAGGCTCAGATGAGCCTAAACTGCAGGATGTAGCTATGTGCTTTGCCTCCGCGGTCCTACATCGTGGAGAGCTTGACATGAGGATGCAGTGAAGTGCCCCAAATTCTGATGGGAGCGTCTGAGGGGAAATTCCACGTGGTAACGCTGTCGAGAAAGCAGAGTTGCACGGACAGCTCCCCTGAACCCTAACAGAACAGCAGATGTGCTGAGGACAAAGCTACTCCTAAACCATCACAGTCAGGGTATTTGTAAGAATCAATTGTTTTGGACTTTCACAGACACAAGAACTAGGGAGCAGCTGTCTCCAAAACCAGACTTAACTCAAAACCAGCTAGATCTTCAAAGGAAACCAATCCCAAAGCCTGAGGTCCTAAAGATTTAGGATCGGTTGGAGGTAGATTAATTGAAATTACTGAAAAAAAAGACAAAATAAAGAATGCAGCAGATCTGCCCAGAGACACAGCATCTTAGGAGGAGTTGGAGTGGAAAGGAAAAAAAATTGGATTTACTTTCTGCTGGGAACTGCCTCCCTTAATCATGGTCAGAAAAAAATAACTGAAGAGGTGCTAGAGGTCAGAGGAAATAATTCAGTGGGAATGAAACACTGTGGAAAAATACTGAAGCTTTAATTGCTAAATTTGGCACGGATGTATCTAGGAAGTTAATCCTATTGAATGTTTGCTATATTTGGATATTGGTTAGTTATCCGAGGGGTGTCTGTGTGCAGAATATGGTATTTTCTGCAGCTTTCTTCGGCCAACCGTACATTAGAAATGTGTAATTTATCATATTATAAAACTGATGTTTTGCTCAATGTAAAAGTGACACTTTCCCTTACGGAATATCCAAACTAACACTGCCAACCAACAGTCATCTTATTAATCTGCCTCCTAGGCTTTTAAAATACATGTTTCATGAGCGTGTGAAATATTTCTGGTGTTGAGATAATTTCAAACTATAACTTACAACAACATATCCAGTACGCATATCAGTTTCAACTGCTAGAATCTATGAAGAGCATCTGTCTTCAGTGACAAGTGTATGACCTGTTTTTCTTTTTTCTCACTGAATAGCTGATAAATTAATGCTACCTTTCAGTGTGAACTCTTTAGTGTCTATGAAGGCAGACAGAATGCATTATTTGTCTTTTTGGTTCGTCTGATTACAGGCAGCCTTTGATTCGCAACGATTCTTTACTTGCTTGGTTGCTCCCTTCTCAACATCACCAAAACTCCAGAAGTTCAAACCAATCAAATGTTTCATGACTGTGATTTAGTGCAGTTAACAAAGAAGAAGAAAACAATAATGCTTAACTGAATTGAGCTACACCTGTAGCAGGTAAGGCTTAACCAGAAATACCAAAGAAGCTATATCAACTCTAGTTTGAAAGGCAGACTTG